TTACAGCGATTTCCTTTGATGCCGCCTCGTCCCATGCCACCGCACATGATGCACAGAGGTCCCCCGCCAGGCCCCGGGGGCTTTGGGATGCCTCCACCTCATGGAATGAAAGGTCCCTTTCCACCACACAGCCCCTTCGTTAGGCCTGGTGGAATGCCAGGGCTTGGGGGCCCGGGCCCGGGCCCGGGCGGTCCTGAAGACAGAGACGGAAGGCAGCAACAGCCACAGCAGCAGCAGCAGCCGCCACCACAGCCACAACCGCAGCAGCCACCACCAACTCAGCAGCCACCACCAACGCAGCAGCAAACGCAACCGTTTAGAAATGATAACAGGCAGCAGTTCAATTCAGGTAGAGACCAAGAAAGGTTTGGAAGAAGATCTTTCGGAAATAGGGTGGAAAATGACCGGGAACGGTATGGGAACCGTAATGATGATAGAGATAGTAGTAATCGTGAAAGGAGAGAGTGGGGAAGAAGGAGCCCTGACCGGGACAGACACAGAGACTTGGAAGAGAGAAATAGACGTTCTAGTGGGCATCGAGACAGAGAGAGAGATTCTAGAGATAGAGAGTCTCGTAGAGAGAAGGAAGAAAACCGAGGAAAGGAAAAGCCCGAGGTGACAGACAGGGGAGGTGGTAACAAAATCGTTGAACCTTCCATTAGCCAAGTGGGAAATGTAGACACTGCTTCAGAACTTGATAAGGGGGAGCCGGAGTCTGCGATCGTAAAACCTTCTGAAGAGTTACCTGCTGAGGCTACCTCATCCGTTGAACCCGAAAAGGATTCCGGCTCAGCAGCAGAGGCTCCTCGTTAGAGACTGGAATTCGTTAAAATGTGACAGTGACACTTGCTGGAGTGTAGAGTGTGAGGTGTACAGATGCTGTATTATATTTGCTCCTGCTATATCACAGCCCCGCAGTAGTTGGTGGGGAACGGTAAGCAATTTGATTGCTTCCCTTCTATTTAAAAATAGCCACAAAATAACAAAAAATACTGAAAATATGAATAAATATTACCCTTTTTGCTGTAACTTTTTAAAAGTTTTGACTTTAAAAAGTTTACAAATCGTTAATTAGAAGTGCTCTCTATTTTTTTTTTTTTTTAATTTAAGACAAGGTAACGGTGAAAGCTCCACAAAACAATAGGGATGTTTTTAATAAACTCTATTTTCGTAACAAACTTTAATGTGTGCTATTCTTCATATACTGCATTAAGGTGGAAAAGGACTGTTCATCAGAATTTGAGCTGTTGATACTGTGTGGGAATCTAAATTAGACTTATGTGATGGAAACAAACATCTTATGTAGTTTGCAAACACTTTCATTTGTAGTACTTTTGATTTTTAAAAGTGTTTCATAAGGTAGACTTTGGTTTTAATCTTAGTTTTGCAATTCAATTGATCGAGTCTTTTTAGCCATTGGCTTCCAGGTAAATGTTGCCCTAATTTGTAAAGAAATTTTGCTGGGGGCAAAGTTGGATCCTAGCATTACCCGTTGTACTATGCGTTATCTGATTGCCTGGATATTACTTATTTAGAAAGGTTGGGTATTTTTCTTACCATCCTATTAAATTTTTCAAAAAGATGTGAGAAATGAAGATAACATTTGCAATATAAAAGCTTGTCTTATACCATTAAGGACTTCAGTGCAACCTATTGTTTCCTATAAGCCTTGCCTGTTGCCTTTCTTGACTGGTTTTTTAATCTCCCCTGCTGGGCAGAGGTAGACTGGACGTTTTGCCACCTGTACTTTCTCTCCTCGCTTAAAATTGTTTCACGTGAAAAACAGTTGTAGGTTACAAGAACAATTACGTGAAGACATCCAAAGCCAAATCAAAGCTATACCTGAGGTAGCACGGAAAAGCACTTACCTAACACTGCTGCCTGGTGCCAAGGGAAGGCCCTGCTGTTAACAATCCGAGGATCTGGTCTTGTCAAAGCTTTTTTCCTAAGTTACATTTTTTAACTGTCCTAGTTTCATTGTGCTGAGCAGTTAATCTTTTCTTTACCCTCACCCCTAGGAGAAGGTGCTTTACTTGGTTTTTAAATAATACTGAGCAGCAAGATCGTTTTGATGGGGAGAATATATCTAGGGCAGTGTTCTTGTGCTCCTGCCTTTAGAACATAAGAGGAAATCCCATTTCATACCTGCAGGCTTGAATGATAACGCTTTGGAGTTTTATGTTGGCCCACTAAGAAGTTTAAAAGTCCTAACTGCTGCTGAGAAGAAACAGACATCCTATATTATTCTTAGTGTTCAGATTTCAAGGACTTGCAGCCTGTATTTCCAATCGAAAGTATTGAGATCACTCTATCTGCATATGAAAAAACCCTAAAAGTACTAAAAGTGGTAGCGCTTACACCTGAGGCCTTAAAGGTCACAAGGGAGTCCCTGTACTTGAGTCTTATCCCACATAATGTAAGGTTATACACTAGTGAAATGTTTTTAAATTCTCTATTTGACAAGTTTTAACCTCTTACCATGAGCATATTGTTCTTTATCACCTACTTTAACTTTGAAAACACTATAAATTCTTTTCAAATTAACTTTTCTATGTGATCACATTTGGTAAGAGTGCATCACATATTTATGATCAGAATTTTAACTTTTTTCTGGTTTCGCTGCCAGAAATATTTTAGTTTTCAATTAATAGACAACTGTAATCCACACAGTCAAACTTGATTAGCATTTCATTTAAAAGCATTCTCTTACAGGTACGTGAGTACTTACATTGAGAAACTGACTCGAATTCACTAATCAGGTGTGTAAATTCTTAAACAGCCAGAACCCAGAAACATTCCCTTGGTGTAGTCCCTATAGGGTATTTCTTTAAAGGGCTAATCTGAAAGCAGATCGTGCCAACTTCTACTTTTGTTATAAATTAAATGTTAACAGGTCTTCAAAAGTGGAATATGTACCATTCTGGCAGGTAGGTAAATTAATCTTATTCTTAACTGAGACTCTACTGTGCCGTTCACAATTTCACTAAGTTATTAAAGAGCTCTCAAGTCATAACATCTACATTTTAAAATATAAACAAGTACTTTTTGAGTCAAATGGTAAGCGGCTAAGTAGGAAAAGCTCCTTAATTTCCCTAAAGCTGACAAATAGCCTATCTGCCCAAGATTAAAGTTCAAGTTAGTCTTAGTTAAAAGACTAGCTATTAAAAATTTAAACATCTTGATTATCTCATTTAAAACTTTCAGGAGAGCTCTCAAATACCTGTCAGTATATTCCTAAATCTGTTCAATTCGAGCTCTATGTATATCAGAGCTCATTTAGAATTTCAACTTGGATACTTTAATAAGCTAAAACACAGTGCCCTATTGGGTATTGTTATCGCCGGATTGAATGAGAACTGAAGAAACGTAGACAATTAAGTGTAATACTCATATGTGATTAAGTCTGGCAAAATACAAATATCGCTGAAACAGACATTTTAATTGAGTTTTATAAAATTATACAAATCTTTGAAGTGATCGTAAATCAGTTATTACAGGTACTTAAAGCAATTAAAAAAAGACACAAATTATACTTTTAAGGGTACAGTGTTTAATGTTTATCAAGTTAAATTTCTACAACTAGCAAGGGAACAACAGATGAGTTACTAGGACTCAGACCTTGTCCTAGGGAATGTTTACTGGGCGATCCCAATGACACCACAAGCCAAACGACTTCCAGCATTTCCCGTCTTTTTACTTTCATCATTTTCACCTTTGCCCAAGTCATCTGGTTTTTCATGGACCTTGAAAAAATTTTAAGAACATATAACTTAGGACTATCGAGTAATTACCATCTATTCCCAACAATACCCAAAGACCTCTAAGAACCACTTAAAAATAGCAAACAGCGTGTTAAAATAACCCTAGGGAAACATTTATTCTAGTAGTATAAAGAGTGGTACTAAAAGTTTGATGATGCAAAAATATAAATTACCTTTAAACCCTAGGTAAGAGTTGCTATCTCTATATGAAATATTAAAACTCAATTCTGTTATAGGCTACCACATGCTGATCTTAATCCTCCATAAGAAATTTTAGTAACCTTAGTTATAGTAGTCATTCTTTTATACTATAAATTATTTTGAGAAAAAAATGGAAAGTGGAACCCCCCCCAAAAAAAGATATATCAAAATCGTGCTTAATCGACCATAACGTAAGAGGTAACCGTAAAACTATCTTGAACTATTTAAAAGTAGTACTGTAAGTTCTTCTCATCAAACATTTATAAAGCATTTTTCTGCTTCTCAACTGTGGCTGAAGAAAATTCTCAGGATAAAGGGTCAACTGAAAGGAAGTGACTGCTGGATGCTAACTGCCCTCTGCAGCAGGCACCGGAGACGATTTGGTGTTTTGCAGGAACCAGATGCAGCTCCCAAGGGTAACGGGGCACCCACTTCCCCCACATTAAACAAGGGATGAGACCTGCAGGCACGAATGTTAATACTGAGGTCTGTCCAAGATTTTAGACTCAACAAAATGTCCTGTTTAACTACAAGGGGAAAACCCAATAGCGGCAAGAAAATCTGGCTGTTTTAAAACTAAAGACTACTGTTTATGCAAGACAGATATAATATGATCAAATGTAATCTGCTTTACTACTGCATCTTAGCAGAACAGTGTTAACTGACCTAGATAATTTATCTTCACTGTAATCATCCAATAAAATAATTGCTTTTTCTAATCTGAACTAATGGTACATTTTATGTGGACCCTTAGAAACCAGGATTAATAATCAAGAAATCACGAAGATACAGGACTGTGTTAGAAGAAGTCTTACGCATATCCTTATCACACGAAAACTCACCACCATAGTGCGGCCAATGATGGAATGGTCTCCCGAGAGGGCAATCATAGCGTCTTCGATGTGCACGTGAGCCATCCCATCTTTGCCGGCAGTCACGTTGCCCAGGTCGCCAACATGCCTAATGTTGCAAAGCAATTGGGAGACTAGGAATGATTTCCATTTAACTTAACATCAGAATAGTTCATGAACAAAATTAAAAACTCAGAATTTTTAATAAAAGCCCTTTTTCCAGATTGACAAAATTTGGGGACACATACAAATTTTAAAACAAGTAAGTAGGCAGTCTAGACACACGGCTCTTTAAACGAGGCCTCGAGTCTACACATGATGCCCTGGGAAGAGTCATGGGTTGGGGGACACCTCTAATTTCAGAGGCAGAGCGCTGAACGATGTGCTCTCAGTCACTGAGTTATGCCTATGAACTCTTGGCATGGCTAAGAAAGCTCTGCCCCCCAGGCTTCTGTTACAAACTTATTAATCCTTGTCCTTAAGTTTAATATTCTCCTGAAAGGCTCTCAGAAACCAAACACATACGAATGGACTCTCATCGAATTTTCAATATCAAATTTTTAGCTACCAAGCTTCCTATGTTTCACAATGATGGTTTATTTTGCTAGTGGTTGACAGTACTGTTATTCATGACATTTCCTGTATTAGTTCCCTTTGGCACTTGTATTAGTTCTATATTCAATAAATGCTACGAAACCAAATCGTGTTAAGTGTCCCCATTTGTCAATTCCTCAGCCCAGGCAGTCACGTTAGCATTCCAGCATTTGGAGGCAGGGAGTTACATGGAGGAGAGCGATTATGTCAGCATGCAATTTGCAGGTGGCAGAGCCACACTGACTCCAAAAGGCGATTTCCGTTACTGAGAGCTAAGCGTTTGGTCACTCACCTCTCTTCATCCTTTGGCCCACCATGTGTTTTGCCAAGTGGATTGAAGTGAGGACCTGCACTGGTACAGCCTATTTACCAAAAAAAGGAAAGAAAGAAAGAAAGAAAAAGAAAAGAAAAAAGTAGCTAAATTCCAAAGTAAATTCTAAAAAACTATTAACGGTGAAAACCTTCAAGTACTGACGTACATCATGACTTCTAGGCTGATACAAACAGGAAGCAACACCTTAGTATAAGCAAAGTGGGCTAGGTGTAGCGACAAGTTCTAATTACTCTGTGACACTGGTAAACTTAATGCCATTCTCTGGGCTTTAGTTTCTTCACTGCCCTGTAAAAATAAGAGGGCCAACACCTGATCTTCAACAGTTCGTCTGTTAAAACCCCATGATTATGATCCTGGTCTGTAAGAAGGCAGAATACCTCAACTACAAAAAACTTATCTCCCCAGCAGCTACCACCAAGCAGCTCTCCTGTCTGTGGCCTCAACCTGGTGTGTGCAGAATACGAAAGGGCGAAAGGGCGCCTCATGTCCAAGGGCCAAGGCTGTGGCCTCGCACGACCCCGAGGGGGGTGGGAGGACAGCATTCAGCTGGATCCTGTAACAAGGGCGCTCCCATGGCCATGCATACAACACGACCACCACACGGCAGGGCTTCTTTTGTGACATGGCTTCCTTCATCCAGCTGATGGGAAGTTTCCACTGTTCATGGCTTCCACCCAGCACCCCTTCCCCTCCCCCGACCCTCCCCTCCAGGGGAGAAGAGAGCAAGTCACAGGAAGCAGCATAGTTAAGTCAAAGCCACAGAGCAGTGGGCCTCCCAAGGCAGAGGCAGCAAAACCAAGTAACGAGACATTTTATAATTGTTGAAGTAGATCAAATCTGACCATTAAATCGCTATTTATAGGAACCAAATTATGGAATATTAAAAACAAGGTCCAGCAAAATGAATCAAGTTCTCATTGTAAAGTCTAAACACTGTCAGATTATTCAAATATGGCAAAAGATTACTAAAAGCATTTTTAACCCATAAATTGTTAACTTGCTTCTAATCCCAAAGTGAGAAAATGAAATTCAATCCAAAGCCCCAGTAATTTACATTCTATCTTCAGTCTGTATCTTACTTCCGGCTAAGGACCTTGCCTTGGAGGTGTGGCACTCCTACCAGATAAGGCAAATAAATGTAGACCCTGCACTTAAAGCACCTGCTCTCAACCTCATGAACACCTGGGATCACACAAAAGGTAAGAAAGTAACTGAATTTTTTGTTTTTCTTAAAAAACACCTAAGACTCTTATATAATCAAGCCATAATCACGATCAAAAACAAAACAAAACAAAACAAAACCCATCAAACTCCTTCCTTTCCACACTTGAGTCAAAAACTAGTTTTGTGGCTCATCTCCCTAAGGTTGACCTTCGTAGTCATAGAAACCTTTTTTTTTTTAAATGTTAAGCGTTTTTCATGTTTGGGGACAGCGCTGCTCAGTTCCGTCTACGTTACCAGGTTAAACAGGTATGGGCCACTAGGCTGGCACCCACCTTGTGTATTATCCCCGAACTGATGGACGTGGAACCCATGGTCACCTTCAGTCAATCCTGTGATGGTTCCCGAGACCACGACCAGCCCATTTCTCTGTATTCGGAGAAAAGTGCGAGACATTTGAGAGAGCAAGTGCCCTGAGCAAGGACAACAGTTGGATTACACCTTTACCACTCACAGGAGTGTGGAAAGAACGTGGAATTGGGAGTCCACACACCTGTGTCCACATCGCAGGCCCACCGCTTCCTAGCAGGGAACTTCCAGCAAGTAGCTTACCTGCTCTAGGCCTCCATCCCGAACCCAGGGAGAAGGTGACCGTACCTTGTTCTAACACTCCTCACCAGCAGCCCCGTGGCCAGGCATCAGGACTAAACAAAGTAGCACAGAAAAGGCACCTAGCAGAGTGGCAAGCAGTGAGCACGTCAACGGTGGATCTGCAGGCTTTGTAGTTCTGTCTCTCTTACAATGAATATTAATAGGTTCTGGTTTATTTTGTAAATACTTCTGAATAGGTTATATGTGTACATGGTGAGGATATGTGTACATATCAAACTTTTTAACCCAGATGTTAGCACATGCTTTTTGGAACCTTGTTGTTTTTTTTTCATACAGACACTTTTCCACATAGCAAATATACAGATTTGCCTTAAAAAAAGAAAAAGGGAAAAAGGCACCCTGGAAATATCCAACTGGCTGCGCCCTAGGATCCCTGTTCTCCACTCTCCACCAGGGGGTGTTTATCAGATTCCAGCATAAATTTTGTGTGTGGTAACACTGGTACACAAGATTATATATATTTCAGCTGTATGTTACAATTCCAGCATAGACGTTTTCGATACATAGCCAGAAAATAACCTATCCCACTGTCCCCAGAGGACTAATTCTAGTCTCTGACCGGAGGTACTGTTTTCTGAAGTCTTTTTAGGCACTGAAACCTCAGTAACCTTTCTGCTCTAACTACTGAGACCAAAAAGACAAAAACACAAAAGCAGGTGAAAATAACACAGAAGTATCGATGTTCAGGCTATGGTGATGGGTAATGGTATTGCTGGCTACATACAGAAATCAAGTAAGTTACCATTACAAGTACAAAGATCGTAGGAACTAAAAATATACACAAGCACCCACACCACACAGTAATACACAGGATGCCGTCTTTATTTTTAAATAGTCAAGACCAACGGTTGCAAGAGGTGTTAGCCTTGAACATGTGACTTTCCACAGGATAAATACCACTGCTCAAATCAAGTAGGGTGGCGACTGCTGCGCTTTTTTGCTTTTCTTTTTGAGAACATACTATGATTCTTCCGAGTACAACCTTTAATTTTAGAGCAACTCAAACATGAATGTCCTCTCCCAAAATACACTGTGTTATCAAAAGCACAGAGAGACAAACAGGGCAGGTTCTTCGAGCCTCCGTTTAATGGATGTTGCACAGAGCACATGAGTAGCTCATAGTATGCTTCCTGGGCGCGACCCTGTAGGGCCAGGTTGTTATCTAAAGGAGTAAAACATGTCAGGGGTGTCAACGGGGCCAGCACAGTGCTGCCCTGGTCTACTGAAGGCTCAGTAAGGGCAGATCTCCAAATTCTTCAAGAGAAGCTAGAAATACAGACTGACAGGTGAAATTTTCTAATTCTAAAATACTGGAAAATAATCCAAAAATTTAAATACTCAATAGGCCAAATACAGTTTATTGCCAATTTAACGTGTCTCCATGTCTGTAGAGCTGTAATGCTTAACTATGCAAGTGTCTTTATCAGGTACAAACACCACCACCAAAATGGAGCAGAAAGGAGGGAGGCGTTCAAGCTGCCCAGGGAAGGTGGAAAACTCCAGGAGCTCGGTGCCGTATAGATTCACAGCTTGGCTTCTGAACGTTAACGCCAGGAGCCATTTTTCAGTGGCCTGAGAGAATTCTCAGAATCTCTAGTCGGCGAATGAGTGGGACCAAAGACAAAACGAAGCCTGGCAAATGAAAACAGCAAAATTTAGTCAAATGCCGAGGGCCTTTTCCAGAAAATCTGGAAACCACTTAAAGAGAAAAATTACGCTGGAATATAGGTGTGCTCCCCTGTGTAAATTACACAGATGGGCCACTCACATTTCTGTAAACCATTTTAAAAGTATATACAGAAATATATATATTATTATATGAGTGATATATATATCATATATATATACACACATATATATATATATCACTCATATAATAATCTCTAGTGAATAACAAGCCAACTACCAACAATTACCACCAGCTGCTAACCTCACTAAGATTTGGGGGGAAAGTCTTACCACAAGCACCTCCCTTAAAACGTGTTTTACATTATCAATAACGAGTATTTCTGTGTCCTTTATGTTACAGAATCTGTTCAAAAGTTTGTTTTCTACCATCTCAGTAACAGACCTATTGGTAGAGCGATGTCAAAGTCACTTTCCAGAGAATCTGGTTAAACAAATGATCTAACACCAGAGTTAAGTGACAATTCCATGCAAAGAAAACACTCCACCGCTGCGAACGGAAACACGCCAAACCCCATCCACTACCTTCCACCAACAGTAATTCTCCACCCTCGGTACACATTAGAACCGCTTTGCAAACTTTAAAAACAGCACTGCTCGGACTGCACCCCAATAAATTCTGATGTAACTGGTCTGGACTTGGACCCTGTAATCTGTTTTTTAAAAAACTCTCCAGATCTACGCACCCACGGTTAAAATCCGCTGCTCTGGAAAACCCCCAACAAGGGAGTCCGTAAGATCTCTGGCTTTTGGGAGCTTTGGAGCTTTGTCCAGGGTCATCTTCTTGGCCCTTACAGCCTGACCGTGACCCAGAGTAGAAGGATCAGCAAACTATTCCGTAAAGGGGCGCATACGGACTGTCGCCTATTCTTGTTTTTCACGACCTTTAACATAAACG